AAAACAATTCCGGGGCCCAGCCAGTAGCATGATGGTAAAGGTGGCTGAGTCCCACAAAGCTGACCATGTGGGTTGAGGCTTGGACCCAGTGGCTTGATAAAACACATTGGACATGTGTGCATGTGTGCCAAAAATCCTGAAAGGAGGGAAAAGTGGAGAAGGGGTTGCAGTATACCCACTGCAGTATAACCGTTCCCCATGGGGGGTGTGCTTTCTCACTTTGTCTGTCTCTCTGGCAAACACACACACCTTCTAGCAAAAAAAAAAAAGATATACATATGTACATAGAATTATAAAAATGATATACACATGTACATATGTACACTATATACATAGTTTATGTTACACTTATTGTAATAAGGTCTGGATAAACTATATCAAAGGTGTTAACACCCTGTAGGTGTTCAATAAATGATAACCAATTTTTAAAAATTGGTATAAAAAGGTTTCTAAGGTGAATGGGAACCAGCAGTTAGCGTAATGGCTATGTCGTTGGACTCCCATGTAGTCGACCGCGGTTCGCGTCCCGGACCTGGTGGCTTAAAACTCGCGCTGGGCGCGTGTGCGTGCATGCCCAAGATCCCGAGAGGAGAATGGAGGAGAAGGGATTACGGTGTGGCCATCCCCCCTGGAGGGTGATTTCTTGTTTTCTGTTTCTATGTCTCTCTCTGTCTGTCTGGCGAGCACACGCACCCTATAGCAAAAACCTCTCCAAAAAAAAAAAAATGGTTTCTAAGGTGAAGCAGAATGAATATGGTTCTTGTACCAACTTATGGCGTGGTGGTTAGAGTGGTTGGATCCCGAACAGTTGAGGCCAACTGTGCTTGGGAAACATACCAGCCATGTGTATGTGCATGCCCCAAATCCCAAAAAGAAAAATGGAGAAGGGATTGTGACATGATCATCCCCAATGGGTGTGGGTGTGTGTGCTTTCTCTCTTTTTCTCTTTCCAGTAAATGCACATGCCCTCTAGCAAATATAAAAAGAAAAAAAAAAGAAATGTGTCTCTCATTTCGTGTCTATGACTATGGACTCAACAAGGAACTTCCATTCCTTAAAAAAAACAGTGACATAATACTTAAAAACAGTGACATTGGGCCAGCAGGTGGTATGGAGGTTAAGATGCTGGATTCCACACAGATGGCTTTGCAGTTAGAGTGCTAGATCCAGTGACTTAAGACTCATGATGGGTAATAAAGTTAGAAGGATGTAGAAAGGCTGAATATGCCCATAACAATCCAGGAGATAGAATCAGTAATAAATAACCTCTGAACAAAGAAAAACTGTGGTCCTGATGGCTTTACCTCTGAATCCTACAAAACTTTAAAAGAAGAGTTAACCCCCACTCTGCTCAAGTTATTTCTTTTTCTCTTTTTGAAAGGTTTTTGCTATAGGGCACGTACACTTGCCAGAAAGACAGAGACATACAGAAAGATAGAAAGTGAGAAATCACCCCCTGGGGAGGATGGTCACGCTGCAATCCCTTCTCTTCCATTCTCCTCTCAGGATCTTGGGCACGCACGCACAAGCGCCTGGTATGAGTTTAAGCCACCGGGTCCGGGACTTCAACCGCGGTCGGCTACATGGGAGTTCAGTGACATAGCCATTACGCTAACTGGTGGTCCCAAATAAATTATTCTTTAAAAAAAAAAAAAAGAATCATGACGGGTGCATATACATGTGAGCCAAAAATCCAGAGAGAAGAATGGAGGAGAAGCTATTGAAGCATGACCATACCCCTGAGGGGGGGATGATTTCTCTCTCTCTCTGTCTCTAGTGAGTGCATATGCCTTACAGTAAAAACTAAGATGATGAAGGGGAAAAAAAGAAACAGTTGGGACCAGCAGTTGGCGTAATGGCTATGTCGCTGGACTCCCTTGTAGTTGACTGCGGTTTGAGTCCCCGACCCAGTGGCATAAACTCACACTGGGCGCATGTGCATGAGGTCTAAGATCCTAAGAGGAGAATGGAAGAGAGGGGATTGCGGTGTGGCCATCTCCCCTGGGGAGTGATTTCTCGCCTTCTGTCTCTCCTCTCTCTGTCTTTTTGGTGAGCACATGCACCCTATAGCAAAAACCTCTTCAAAAAATAAAAAAAAAGAAAAGAAAAGAGGGACCAGCAGTTGATGTAATGGCTATGTCACTGGACTCCCATGTAGTCGACCCAGTTCGAGTCCCAGATCCAGTGACTTAAACTCTAGCTGGCTACGTGTGTGTGCATGCCCAAGATCCCAAGAGGATAATGGAGGAGAGGGGATTGCAGCATGGCCATCCCCCCAGGAGGTGATTTCTCACTTTCTGTCTCTCTGTCTCTCTCTGTCGTTCTGGTGAGCACATACACCCTATAGCAAAAAAAACTCTCCAAAACAAAAAAGAAAAAAAAAAAAAAAACAGTGAAAACAAAATACAAAAAAAAAAAAAAAAAAAAAACACCAGGGGGGGGGGGGGGGGGGAG